CCCAAAAAAAAAAAAAGTCCTAAAATGAATGAAAAAATGTCAAGCAAGTGAGGCATAGGGAACCTGATTCAGGCCCTTTAGTTATCCAGGGTATCCTGTTACTTCCCCATTGTGGTGATCTGCCCAAAATGGGAACAAAACATAGTAACATCATGATGGAAATAAGAAATGTATTGAAGATGTATCTTTTGTGGAGGATGGAACAATAATTCTTAAGAGGCAGCTATTCAGGAGTGTGCTTTAATACATAGTGAAAGGCTGCAAGAAGGAGAATCTGCCTGATAAGGAGAGTTGGTAGCATCCTTAGGTGAGTTGAGGTTGTAGGAAATTGTCACTGTGTCATCGAAGTGTGTGCTCAGATTGCTGGGGACATCCAGGAGATGGGTCCAAAAGCTACAACACCTGGAGCAAGTCTTCTGGCTTGCAGTGGAGACGTCCCGGGCTCTGGTGGAGGAGTGGGAGAGGTACAATATCAGCAGTGGCAAGCTGGATCACCATAACTCGCTTCTTGAGACTAGTCATTAGTATGCCAGCCTTGAGATTTTCCTATAAGTGGATTCTGCACCCTTTCTGGGATAGCAGGTAGCTTCACAGCATGAACAGCTTCAGTCTAAGAGAACTACCACTCTAACAAAGGTGTTCCTTTAATTATAAAATGCTTCGTGTTCTGCTCAATAAAGTAGAAGGAAAAGTATATACTCACTTTTAGAACACTTGTTTAGTCACACATACCAACATCCATAGCCATGTGAGATGCTGCATGACCTCCTCCATGCCATTGCTCAAAGTAGTTTGCTATGCAAAGGCTTCTGTGTCAGTGCTATTCTAAGGTGTTTGTAGAAGGTAGCTGAAACCCTTGATAGTCAGTGTCTCTTGCTCCATATCTAATGCATCTCCTAAGAGCTCTTAATATTATGCTTTGCAAATATACAAAACATCTGGCCTTCACCTTGCTGGTCAGGTAGCTTTCTGACATTGAGTCTTCCTTGGGGACTTCCATCTGGCCTTCTTTCTTACAAAGACCTACTCTACATTCATGTGACAGCTTTTAAGCCCATATTTGGAGCCAGATGTTCTGTATAAAGTTTCATTGACTGAGGCAAAATTGGCTCCACAGAGTTGCACAGAAACAGAGAATGCTTGCCCTGTTTGTATTAGTGGGGCTGTTCTGCAAGCAACCTGCCCTCCACCCCCTCGTTATGACAGATATTTAAGTTCTTTAATACTGTGGTGTGTATATATTTCTACACCATTTGATTGTGGCTTGAGTCAATCTTTGTGGTTTACCACTTCTTGCAACTAATGAAGAAGTCCTTCCTTTGTTTGTACCTGAATGCATGGTGGGGGGTGCATATAGTGGAGACATGGGTGGTGTTAATTGCCTTCATAATTCTGGAAACTTATGTGTGCAGATCTTTCAATATTGTCCTGAGGACTGCCTGTACTAACAATTTCTTCATGGCAGTACATAACAAATACACAGAATTTCCAGGAATTGATTTACCCATGTCAAAGTGGCTGGTCATGGACCAGTATCAGTTAGGCTTTGCTAGTTTCCAGATGGTTGTTGACATGATCTTTTCTATAGATGAGAATTCTCATGTTGATAAGCTGTTTCCACATCTATGGAGGCAGTACTGCTGAGATCTCTTGAAATGTAGCCACTTTGAAATTCTGATACCATTTATGGTCATCTCAAGTCAGCAGCACTTTCCCATCAGTATGAACTTCTTTCCTTTATCCAGTACCTTCAGTGCACAAAGTGCACTTGTATCAAACTGTACCATCTGTATTGGTTTTAAATGGCATCCTCATTCTCCCAAAGGCCCTAGGGACCAATAAGAAGTAATTGTGAGAGATATAGCATGTGCTTTCTCTGAGATTTTTCTCTGCCTCTCTAGTCCATGGAATACCACTCTGCAGGGAGGGACAGGCCAGTAGCTGACATAGAAGCAGCCTTAGTACAGGTGGAGCAGTCAAACCACTGAGTAGTAAAAAGTGTTATAATCTGGAAAAAAAACAATATTACTGGTTTCTAAGGAGTTTTTGAGGACTGATGTTGCATGAGAAGCCTTGGTAATTTCTTTTAACTGCTATGTAACCAACCAACTAAAGTAATAGTCCCAGATTTTAAGGTGTCTTGGCCCCAAAACTTCTAGAGCATACTGTAAGGTCTACCTCAGGTGTTAAGTTGGTTCGTGTTGGTAAGAACTGCAGCTCCTGTGAAGTATCCTTATTAGTACGTTGTGTCTGTTACAACTCTGGGGTAAATGTACCCTGTACTATTCACCAGTGTAAATTTCTCTGAAATTAACATTTTGTACTCTTAGTATGGGGCCAAATATTTGAATATTGAATGTTACCTTTTATATCTGTGATCCCCATGCCTCCTGGGCAGTGAATAAGACAGTGGCCAGGTACAAATAGAAAATGATTATGCAGTTAAAGACTATCAAGAAGCTACATGCCCCAGGTTGCTAAATTAAAGGGCAGTCTTAATTGTTAGTTTTTGAATGTAAAACGTCTGCTGAATCTCAGAAAGGAACATCATAATACATACTCTTAGTGCTTGACTGGACAGCCTTAATATTCTTTTTATCGATACGTTCCTAATGCGTATTTCATGTATGTATATAGTTCCTCTTGCAAAGAAGGATGGATAACAGTAGTTGATGTTGAAGGGTACTTACATGTATTATGATGTTCCTTTCTGAGATCCAGTAAAAGTTTTACATTTCAAAACTTCATATAGCAACTAGCTGTTTGACCATCTTGAAAAGTCCTTGCAATTCATTTTTCCCCAAATCCAACACAATCTGCTATTGCTTGCATTTATAAATCTGTTATATTTGAAAATAAATTACCTTGGACAAAGCAAACAATGTAGCAACAGGAGAACACTTAAGGAACTGAATTATTTAAATCCAGTCTTTACTTTTAATACAATAGGAGGTCTAAACTGGCTTTTAACCTTCCAGAATGATAAAATTACATTTCAGTCTGGTACTTCAATTAAATGTTTATTTTACTGTCTTTATCGTTGTTTGCTTCATGCTTTCCTGCTACCACATATTTTAATCAAGTAATGATACTTGAATTATTAACAAAAATTTCAACCTTTGAAACTAAATTCAAAGGTTGAAATGATAGGCAAGAATAACTTTAAAAAAATGGCAAAGCTGCTTGAAGAGGTCCATATTCCCAATTCATATGACCTAGATGCAGTTGCTTGACACTACACTTGTTTTTTTTTTTTAATATAGAAATGTGGAAAATACACCAGCACTGTGCATTTTACTCAAGAGTAAGGAAAGTGTAATAGATAATTATAAATAAGATCCTTAAAAAATATATGGGATACCACACATGAGTGTTCCATGACATCTGGAATACCCAACTGTTGAAAATGTTAATGTAGTTAGATAATTTTAAAATGTTTGTTAGCGAAATCCTTTTAATGCCTGGAATATTGAATATATAATTCATCAAAGTAAATTAAGTGCAATTACATAGAATTACTTCTAAATGAAAGGTTTCTTGGGTATCCCTTCTTCGCATAAACCAAATAAGTCTATGATGATGTATCACTTGAACAAGGCTTCGTAGGACTTTGAGCTGTAGTAATAATTAGTATAATCATATTTTATTTCTTTACTATTTACTGGAGAGACAACTCTTGTGTTTCAGGCAGTGGAGAGCAGTGCAATATTTTGCTTAAAAATACACAAGGAAATTGAGTATCATTTTAAATATGTTGAAGAGCAATGGAGAAAAAAATTTAGTCCTGGCACTCATGTTGTGTTAGGTAAGTGCTTTCCTTTCATTTTTAAGAAGCGGATTCTAAGCAGCAATATGTTATTTCTTTTAGTCTATATAATGTATTTACACTGGTGTTAATGAAGAGTAAACATGCAGAGTAGAAACCATGAAAAGTTCCCCAGGGAAAACTGCAGTAAGAATACACCAGTGTAGGTGCTGTGTCCATAGCTGCCTTTGGGTAAAAGTTTTCTCAATACAAGTAGGATATTACTTGCTCTGCTGCCACCTAAGGTTGATGAGCTGTAATAGTATTTAGCCTAGTAGCTACTAGAGAGACTGGTGTTTGTCTCCACCCTGGATCCTAGTATAACTTAAATTGGTGTACAAAACTGATGTAAAATTTGCTGGTGCTAATGCAAACAATTTATATTTTAGCCCCTGAAAGACTTGAAGGCAGCAATATTAAATGCAAATATGTCTCTGAGAATCTTTATTAGACTAGAACTTCTGTATGTTTCTAGCAGAACTAGAGTGTAACCAAACAAAAAGAACAGTACATCTTAACAGAATATAGTTAGGTAAGTAGATAGTTCAGTGAAGAAATGAGAATAGATTTTCATAATCCTGGGATGCTCTTCAAATTAAAGATTCAAATCCAAGATGCTGGATTTATCGTCTGAGCCTTTCAGATAGGGTGAGATATAAATCTAAACAAATATCAACGTTGTTGATAATGCAACATATATTTCAATAATTAAAAAAGGAATAAAAGACAACTTGCACCTGTTTAAAAAAAATCGAAACAAAACTGCTTTGCTTCTTAATTTTTCACCTGCAGCTTTTCAGGCTATAGGTTAATATTATATTGTGGCTGTTTAAAACCTCAGACTTAACTTTCCGTAGTTATGACTTCATGAAAAAGGAACGCATTAAAAACAAGAGCCTGGTTACTTGACAGGTCCTTGTTCCGTTTTTTCAGTACAGTTAATTTACCTCCATACCCAGTAATGTATCCTTGTATGTAGGCTTCCAGTGTCATGTGAGACTAGTTTAAAAGCGAATCAACTTATTTTGCTACTTGGTCTTATCACTGGCTCTTTTGACTCAGCCTGGAGCTCAATTTCTAGTACACGACTTAGGGTCCAAACAGTGTTATCTCCAGTCTTCTACACAAGAGATGCATATAACTTCAGCTTCTTTCTGGAACCAATAATAAGATAGAATTAAATAAAAACCAAGAGCACCCTAAATGTTTTCTGGAACCAAAAATAAAATAACACTAAAAACACACCAGACGTTCTGTGATATAAGTGGAGATGTAAGGTGCAGGCAGAAGTGAGCTCCCAGCTGTAACTCGGAATGTTTTTCTGCAAACCATTCTGAGTTACAGCGTTACCCCAGACCAAACAGAAGTTCACTGATGGTTCTGTGGGGGAGGGGAATCTAGCTGCCCCCTGGGAGCCTGTAGCCAGGTTCCCATAGCAGTGGCCGTGGCTCTCTGCCAGTGCTCGGTTTTCACAACAGGAGAGGGGAAAGGCAGTGGAGGGAGCTCATTCTTAGGGCTACCCAGCTGGTGCTGAATGGTGGCATGGGTGAAACTGGAGCCCCCGACTTTGAGGGGTGTTCTAATATGCCTGCTTCACCCTTGGAGGAGTGGGGTCTGAACAAAACAGACTGAACTGCCTGTGCTCCCTTTTCCCCCCTCGCATTCTGAGAACAGCAACAGGCTGGAAGCTCCAGAAACAAGTTACAAAAGACGCTGCATTTTGAAACGTCTTCATATGATACCTCCTGGAATAAGAGATCAAATTTTCATCTGACTGGCCATTTTTGAAGTTGTCTGCAGCCATGCACTTGGGCTTTTGGTCACGGCTGTAGACTGCTTTCTGTTGCCATATCGAGTGAAAATTGTCGCTTCTGTTTTCACCTCAAACGAAGATACGAGAGGTTGTTCAGAAATGCAAAAAGAAAGTAGACCTTAGGTCAGAATACCAGTAACTATGTTCTGCAATCCTCTGTCAGTGGTACAGGTCAGGGGAGCTTTAATTGTTGAGTAGCTGTTAGTGCATCTGTCACAAATCAGTGGGCTCTTCCAGCAGTGCCAATCTGTTACTGCAAAGAGCAGTTTCTTACAAACTGTTTTGGAATCGCTAGTATCAGAATCAGGAATTCGTTTTGGTGCATATAGCTTTCTATTTTATGTAGACCTGAAGGTCTGCTTTCTTTTTGTGTTTCTTAACAACCTCCTTTTTTCATATGACCTTCACTTAGAACTTGTTTTCCAAATGTTTACCTTCACAATCAAATGAGCATATCTATGTTTAGCAGTGCCTTGAAAAAACTCATGATCAAAACCCACTTGCCTGAAATGGTCAGGTATTTCTTCTTTGAACAGATTTTACATAAACTTGAAGTCAAATGAGCTGCTGAGTTGCCAGTTTTGTAAACTTGGAAAATAGATGCTTTTCCAAATACAGGACTTTGGAAATAATTAATTTTGCTCTCCCTAAAAATACAAGGCAGAATGGGCTCAACTAGGGAAAATAACAGATTCAAAGATCATGATAAGGGAAAATACTACACCTTGTGGGGAGAGTGTGCATGTATATGTGGTTTTATTTATATATTTATTTTTAAAGGGTGTAAATATCCTGGCAGTTTCTCAGTTTCTTTGCAGTCTTGGAATTTCTACCATCAAAATCCAGAATTTCTGTCAGCATCTGCAGAGAAATTTCTTATTCTATCAAGCTTTTAGCTTATCTGTGTTTTTACTCCAGGGAGTTCACTAGGGAAAATGATCAAGAAAGAGTCCCTTTTTTAAGCTTAGCTGTTAAGTTCAAAGCAGCTTCTGAGACCATAATACGTTTCCCAGAAAACTCAAGACACTATTCCATTCATGTAGAAGGAGGTTACAAAAATAAGTTGAGGTACATAAAGTATCAAAAGGGAGCAACAGGCATGAGATCAGCAGTAACAAAACTTGTTTGATTTTTGGCTTTGTAAGAACATATTCCAGCAAAGGGAAGGTTGGACTTTCAAATGTATTGCCTAAGTGGCACAATCTTGGGAGGGGAGTGAATATGCAAAGAAATAAAGGAATAAAAGAAACCTCTTGAGCTATAGAGTCTAGTCCCCCATTATTGCAGGCAACCATATTATAGAATTCCTTTAATAAATGTATCAAGTTGCTGCTGCTTTTTTTCTTTTTTTAAGGAGCTACTTTTTTGCTTTTTTAGCTGTTTCAAAATCCGACTGCTCTAATGAATAGAAACTTTTTCAAATATCCACCCTAAATTTATTCATGGCCAGTTTATATTTGTTTGTATTTGTGTCAACATTGTCTGTCAGCCTAAATAGTTATTTTCTCTCCAGGGCATTTACCTCCTAATATTTTTACACAACGTAGCATCAAAATGATAATGTTCAAATTATAACTTCTTTGTGGAACATGCCTCAGCTGGATCTTTTTGTCTTTTAGTCCACCAGAGAAATACTTTGTAATATGTACATATGATGTATTGTGGCTTGCTTTCTCTTCCAGTTTTAACTGATGACTGCATGAAATACTTGGGAATTACTGATGCAACTTGTGTGGTACATTTCAGTTTTCCATCCTCTCCAAGCGTTTTTGGTATACGCTTACACAGCATGTCTGATAACTTTCGAAGTGGCATAGAAAAGGTTTGATTAACTCTCAAGATGTTTTAGTTCTGCTGGTTAACGTTCACTTACTAATATGTTGCCGTATACTTAGTGGACAGCGTTTTAAAAACAAAAATCTTCATTCCTTTTTCTGAAGAGTTCTTTGAAAGATGACAAATTTACAAAGGCAAAATCCATCTTGTTGCTGACTGAAAGAAATGGATGCCACGCAGGTGGTGTGCTGCATTACTTGGAACACACAGATGCTAAAATTCCACCAGAACTGAGTGACTTTACAGCTGGAGTGCTCAAAGCTAAAGAAGATATGAAACTAGCAAGGCCTGTTTGTCATTATCTTAAAACACTTGGGGTTTGCAAGTAAGAAAATGCATAATCTATTCTTGCAGACTACTTAAAATAACTTGTGCAAAGAGCTGTTTGCTTTGAGTAATGGCTTTTTCCCCCCAAAGTTTGACAAATGCTGTTTAATATTTGAGGAAACCTGTTGTTATGCCTCCCTGAGATAGCAGGTTTTTAATAATGTGGCAGGTCTCTTCTTGGTTTCCCTTTGATATTGAAGGGGCTGCATAGTAATCTCTCTTCCTGTAGGTACCGTATTTACTCAAAAACAACAGGTGATTTTTATTTGTTCAGCATAGGAGGTGGGAGCCTCATCTTGGATTTGAATACTGGAGCTGCCATTGTCACAGTTGCCTGGCCACAGCTGGGTTGAGTCATGTGGTGGTGGAGGGGAAAATGTTGCAGAGACAATGCAGTGTGCAACCCAGGGGGCCCACTTGGGGAGTGTGCAGTGTGTGGCCCAGGGGAGTGCAAGGGAGACTGCAGCAGTGGCAGAGCTGCTGCAGTTCTGGCCCCAACCAGAGCTCAGAGCCAAAGGTGCAGCTGCCACCATTACTATCTGGCTGGGGCCGGGCACCTTGTGCTCCATGCCCTGGGCCGGAGTCAAAGCTGCTACATTGGGTAAGTGATGGCAGGGAGAAAAGCAGTGGAGAGTAGGAAGCAGGCAGACTGAGGGAGGGGGACAAACACTGATGGGAAGAGGAAGGCAGGCAGCAGGTGTATAGGTTCTGATTAACACAGATGTGGGGCAAGTGGCATGGAGGCAGACCATATGCTCCCCACTTATTGCTGTACCATTCCCCATCGCAGTGATGGGAGGGATTCATTTAAGCCAACTCTTCAGTAATTAAATTATCTACATGAAAAATTATAACAAATGTATAATTTTCCACGCATGTAATCTATTTATTGGGGACTTGTCTTTAACTTTGAGTCGTCTTGGATTTGAGTAAGCATGATAACTTTTTTCTTTAAGCATTGGTATGATGAAAATGGGGACTACATTTTCATTCATTTCAATTGCCTCTACGTGGTATTTTTCCCAGTATAGTGCTAATTTTACACTGCGGATTTCTGTTATGATTTAGGGACCTACCCAAATTGAGGTGGCAGATGGGCAATTTTGCATGCTGATTGTGGCGCTGGTTACCATTTTTTGTCTTTTCATGGTGTCTCTTTCCCCACCCTTTCCTCCTCACCACTTCTGATTGTCCAAGGGGATCTGGTAGCCCTGCCCCTCATCGCTGATTGGTAGAGAAGGCTGCCCTTCATGTGGACATGCCCCTCACTGCTAATGGCAGCCCTTTCAGCCAATCAGCGGTGGAGGTTGTGGCCACCGTCTTGGCTGCTTCCTTTTGTGCTGGCAGCTCCTTCCCTCTGCACCCCCTGTGGACTGTGAGGCTGTGCCACAGTGTCCTCTGCAGCATTTTATTTTTAGTAAGCTTTCTTTCCCCCAGCAATTCTGTGCAAAATCATGGGAACTGCCATTTTTCACGGTTTCTGTGAAAACTGTGATTTGAGTAGGTCCCTAGTTACGATGTTTCATAAATCAGAATACTCATCACAAATGTAATTTTGAGACTTGATATCAGAAACTCCTTGGAGTGTATATTGAAATGACTTATTCTTCTAATCTTTTGCTTAAAGTAAACCAAACTTATAACAATAAATGTCTGCTTCCTTCTAGCTATGGTAGAGAATTTAATATGTGCATGTGTTAATGAATGCTTCCTCCAGTTGGGTCCCAGCTCTTAGTTATGTAGCTTGTGACTACACTGGCAATATAGGTATATACAGACATAGGGCTGGAAGGGGATTTAGGCCATAGAGTCTTCCACATTCTCATTATCCAGAGTCACCATTTCTTACCCTTACCCATGTATCTGCCATATTTGTAGTGTAGTGTAGATGTACCTGAACTAGCTTTAAACCAGCTAGTTTGGTTGCAGGTGGTAGTCTTGTTGTGAGAGTATCGAAATCAGCATGGGCTGTAAGATCTTTGTGAGAATCTGGGTAATTGAGAGACTAGTTTTATATTGAGCATTATGCTACCGCATACAGTCTATTGCCAGTACCTGAACTAAGTTGTATAAAATCAGCTTGGGTATATCTCCATTATACTGTAGTCACATCAGTAACTGGGTTATAGCCAAATACTTACTGTGGCCTGTTAGGTACTATCAAAATATAAGCAAATAATCCTCAGTTCTGAATTCCCCAATGCTGCTGCTGAGTTTCACATACTTCTTAATAAAATAGAATATTCTTCCCATGAACACCTGTTAATTTAAGGATAGGATTTTTTTTCCTAATAGTTTCTTGACTTAGCTTCTGAAATTTACACTCATAAATTCTTGTTAATCTTTTATCTACTAGTTCTCCTGAAATTGACAGATGACTCTGTGGTCAAAAAGTACTTCAGTTTGCTGTCTTAAAAATTCAGGGGGGGAGGATGGAATTGGCTTTGTTTATCCTTGTTAAGTCTTTTCCTCCTTTGTTGTGTTATAAATATGCAGAAATATGAGGATATGTCCAGATCGGCATCAAGTTAATTTGCAAATAGATTTCCCTCCAAAGTCTTCAGATCAAATTACATCAGCAGTTGGATATATCACAGTAAGTTACTAGACTTCTGTCTTGTTTTTAATATGTCTAATACGCTAGTCTGATTGCTAGCAATAATTCTGGTATAATATGATTGGCAGTTCATAATATCAGTAGAATAACATACATTTTGAGCCCTTGGAATGTCCTGTTTTCCTTTCTGCTCTCTTGTAGCTGACTGCTTTCTCTCAGGAAAGTGAAAGTGATTGTTTCTCTTTACAACAAAGTTTACAAAAGATGGACGCAAAAATGTTCTCTGTTTTAGGATCATCTCACAGTCAATATAATAAACTTTATCAGTTAGCTAGATATGGTACATCTTCCTCATCTGTAGGAGCTGCAGCAGGAATAAACAGCATGGAGTATTCCCTCTTGTAATGCATGGCTTGAAGTGACATTAGATCTTTCAAGTGTCCTTCCTGCTCATCTGTGGCCCTTGTATATCAATGGAAGGTTTTTAATGAGACAGCTGGGTCAGGTCTCCTTTGCTTAAGGCTATTTTGTGGCTGATGAGACCTCTTTTCTTGCCCTGTTGTGTAAAGGAAACAGGAGTCCTACAAGGCACGCTTGATGCTGTGTTGTTGTTGGTTCCTGTCACTTCTGCCTCTTGGCCAGCACTCAGTGACCACTGACAGATGCAAAAAAACCCCAGAAAACAAAACCACTTTACCGGAAGAGGAATTGCATCAGTTTGACCCAGCTTCCCCAACATTTGTGTAGATCACGTGCTTCAGCGGGGCTTTTTGGCACTTTTGTCCAATAGCTGATTGATTCCAGCTATTAGATAAAACTGCCAAAAAGCCCTGCTGAAGCGTGTGATCTACACACATGGTGAGCTGGTCAGGTCAATCTGATACAACATCTCTTTTGGAGCATGCATTTTGCTTGTTGAGGGGTGTGTGCTGAGTTGTAAGTAAAGCACTGGGGTTTTTTTTGCTATATCTGTAAGTAGCCAATATGTACTTAGTGAAGCTCTTCACTGGCCAGTAAAAGAAACTTGATTCTTTGTGGTCTTTGTTGTATTAGTTTTTTCTGAGGATTTGGTCTTTCTGCACTAAATGTAACAAAACTTCCTCAGTTCTCCATACTAAAAATTAACAAGAGAGAGTTTTTTATGATGATTTAGAAGCTTACTGTTATTGCAGCAGATAATCACTCAGAGAAATTGAACCACACCTCCTGGGAAATGAGTTATGTAAGTCACTTCCATAGACTGATTCCCACAGCCCCTCAAAAGACCTCTCAAACAGAAAGATAGATCAGATACATAGGAACTTTTGCTACTTCACTGCTTACCTTTTCATTTATGTAACCATTTTATGTGTACCTGAATGGATAGGAGAAATTATTCTATATAGGGTATACAAACTCTCAGAAGAGCTGTAAAGCAAATATTCTTATAAGTTATTCAAAAGGTTAAATATGGTGGCACGGCTTCCTACAAAAATGAGGCTTCTGGCTTTGCTTATCTGCCTAAGTTTGTGGTTATTGCTGAAAATAAATTACCTTTGCCCCCTGTATTCAACTCTTCAGAGGTTTAACATTCAGTTGACTTGTTCTTAAGGCATTGGAGGATAGATCTAAATGAAATGATACAGATCAAATTAATTTCTTTGGCTCTCATTGAATAAGCATGTAAAACAGTAACCTACAAATTGTTGTCAGACATTTTGACTCTACTCTGTATATACAGATAATTGACTTCTGTGACCTGGAACAGTTCAGTTAAACTAAGTTTCTGATCCCCTCTCTAATCTGTGGCTAAGATTTGCCAGGCTCTCAAGGCTGTAGTGATAAATTTAATGTTTAGCTATTTGAAAAGTAAAATGCTATAGTTCTTATAGCATAAGCCCAGTTTTAATGTTTATCATTCTAAGGTGAATTTAGTGTCAAACAGAAGGTCTTATTGAAGAGAAAAAGTACAGCAATGGAATGCATTCTGCAGATGATTCTAATATTATAAAAGCCTGAGTCTGTTGGTCTGTCTGTCCATAACACTTTATTCACGCTCTGATTGGCTGACGGAAACAGCCAGTCAGAATGCTTCAGGCATGTGGGAGTGCGACCATGATTTCAAAGCTGTTCCAAGGACCGGGGTGGGCTCCCCTACCCCACTCCCTACAAGCAGCACCGAGGACTAGACAGCAGGTAGGGCTGGCCCAAGCGCTGGCCTCAGCTCCCCTACCCCAATCCCTGCAAGAAGCAGAACAGCAGCAGCATGGGGCGTTAAGTGGTGGCACTTCATCCCAGCCCCCTACGCCCTGCCCTCATCATTCTTGATGGGCATTTGGCTAGTACTATCGTATTTTCAAGTCTGTAGTTGAAAAATTCACATCAAAGAGCAAACTTAAGTGCCTGTTCATTTTTTAACCTCACAACAAACATGAGTCCAACTGAGCTCTTGGTCTCTGTCAGAACATAAGACCATAGTATGGTATTGTTTCTTTCAGCATGTATAATCTGTCAACTAGAGACTGGAACACTTCCAGTTACAGGCACAAGTGTTTTTATAAGTTGGTAGAGAGGGGTATTTTACTACTGACCTGGGCTGGACTGAACTTGTTCTCCTTAAATATTAAAAGCTTATTAACTTTAGTCATATGGGCCATCTAATTCTCCCTCTGTGTTTTTATGCTTCCAGATACTACCTCTCCACATTGTGGATGCAACAAACTACTTTGGTCGCATAGTAGATAAGAAAGAGGATCAATATGCAATTCTTGCTGTAGAAATGGACAAGTATTTTAAGAAAGCCAGTAATAAAGTATCAGTTGAAATGGTGAAGAAACTATCATTGTATGGATTACACGAAGAGAAGATTTTTCATCGGTAAAATATTGAAATTGTTTTTGAAAAGAATGATTTAAAAATAAAGACTGTTCCTGGATATTTTAAAGTGTTTGGATTAAAGCACTTGTGCATGCCTGGAAAAATAATGCAAGTTCAAAACAGAACATTATCAAACCATTTTATTTACATTTTTTTTAATTTGCTACACATGGAATATTTTGGGTAGCTCATATTTTGATCTGTTCTTATTTCATTTTCATAAAGGTTAAACAAATGATACAAGTAGAGTGCTGAATACAATCTTATTGTGGGTGCTTTGACAAATGGAAGTTACTGTCTATGTTTTCTCTCCCTAAAGGGTTCAAGTATTAGAGATCTTTCCAAAAGAAGAAAATGGCTTTTTCTATAATGTTACTATCAAGTACGTAGATGAAGGTAGAACTGGTCAGGTTCAAGGCCATCAGTTATTTCCCTTACCTGCAGAATTTCAGAGTTTGCCCCCTCAGGCAGTGGAATTCATTGTTTGTAGAGTAAAACCTATTGATAATGAAACTGAATGGAACCCAAAGGTAAGTTTTCTTTTCTTCAGTATTTTTCCTTTTTGTAGATTAAGCTTAATAAATGCATTTTTTATTTTATGGGAAAATTAAGTCTCTTTTTTTCTTTTATAAAAGTTGGTTATAAACTCATTAATAACAAGCAGTGAAATTTAATGTTTTTTAATTAAGAATCATAAAGATTTAAACTATTTGACCAGCTGTTTTCTAAGAAATTAATTATTTTTGGTTGTCCTCAATATTAAAATTGATTCGATGAAATAAACTAAGTGTAATTTCTGAATCATTTATCAGCTGGCATTTTAATTATCAAGCAAACTTAAATATTCCTGTATGGTATTTTTTTAATTGATTCAGATAATTGTTTGCCGTCTAGGCAAATTTAGGTTGTTTGTTTGGGGGATATACTCTAGAAAGAAACCTTCTCAGAATTCAGTCCCTTTTTCTGAAGTCTTCCAAGGTAAGGGTAGATATAGCCTCTTCCAAAGCCAGTCATCACTGCTGCTTGAATCTGCCAAAAGTAACTGCAGATATAATCTCTGATACCCATGATCTGGTGCAGTGGCTTCCAAACTTGGATGAGGGTAGGGAGTGGTGGGGTAATGAAGCTTTGGTAAATGATCTATGAGTCACACAATTCATGTGTGCCTTTATAGTGCTTTCTGTTAACATTTTTAAGGGTGTCTGGTGGTCCACAAAAAAAATTGAGGACAGACAATGGTCCATTCTTTCTAAACATGTACTTTACAACTGATTTAGTGATGCATCAGATATCTAGGTCAAGCCCATTAATCTTGCAGTAATATTATTATTTAATCTACAGTTTTTCAGTGTATGCCTTTGTTAGTTTTTCTGGCATTTACTCCAAAACTGTTTGCATTACTTGATAAAATACCCTGATTTCATTGTTAATTATAATTCAGTAGTCTTCCAAATGTATAATAGTTGCAGAATCTATTTTCAGTTTGGTATGTATTTTGTGTACTGTGAGTATTTTTTTTTTTTTTTTTTTTTTTTAGATTACTAGATATATTCATCAGAAAATTAAAGGAAAATTGCATGAAGCAAGAGTGGTGCTTACCTTGGGAAATACAGTTTGGGTTGATCCAATGGTAAGTATTAAATTGTAGCATATTTATATTTAAACTTAGTGATTCACAAATAAATGGTTCCTTACATCCTTTTAGTTCTCTATATATAGGTATTTATATATAGTGTGCATGCTTGCTTGCATGTGCATCCAAACACAAGCATTTTTATGTACAGATAAAATCCATGGTGTGTAAATCTTGATTTGGCCTAACTATGAACCACTAGCAAAATTACAGGTGAACTTTACAAATCATTCAAAGTATATGCCCGTACGCAGTTTATTCTTTCTGTAATTGTCATGAAATGAATAGGAAAAATATTTAGAGATGGAGATTTTAGGGGCTGATACTGATAGCTGATATTTAAGGAGGCATATCAGCTGATAATGATCCGAAAGCCAATACAGCTGCCATCAGGTGTTAAGTCCGGTATGGTGGAAGGGAAGTGGGGAGGTGTGTGTGGGGCGGGAGGGCAGATCAACTCCCCCTGCTGTGAGGGAGGGGTCAGGGGCAGGTGCTGCCTGGGAGAGGGCAGTGTGGGATGGAGGTGCAGCTCATGGGGTGGGAGCAGCTCCCACCACTGGTTGCACCCAGGGAGGGTGGGGTAGTGTGATCTCTTTTATTAGACCAACTGAGTAGTTGAGAATGTTCTT